CGGCCGGGGGGCTGCCCGCAGGGCTCGGCCCGAGGGGGCTGGGAGCTGGGGGGAAAGGTTGCTGCTCCTCGGCACCGTTCCCGCTGCGGGGCCTGGCTGTGCTGCTTCCGCCTGGCCCGCATCTTGAAGCTTTCTGTGTTGTGTCCGCTCAGTTGCCGTGTCCTGCTGCAGCCGTGTCTCATTTCTGAAGAACTATTCATAAATACCTTTGGTTTTAAAGAGAAGACTTTTAGGGGAATGTGTCTCTATTAAACTTCCAGAAGATCCGATGTCACACGAGCTGGCACAGGCTTTCCTGCTGTAGTAACCTGCTCAGCCAGGCACTCAGTTTGGGGAGGGAGGTTTGACAATTTTAAGCCACTCAGGTGTTTGGCTGCTCCCTCCAGCTGCATTCTGAGAAAAAAGGCTTCACGTGGAAATAAGTCGTTCAGTTGCTGTAGTGTGCCTAAAACTGGGACTGCATTCGTTTATTCGGGTCTTATCACTATTGATTTGCCCTAAACTATCTCATCTACAAAGTGGAAAATGGTAAGAGGCACTAAATGCTCTTCCATCACAGTTCTCCAGTGATTCAACCTGTCTTGAGTGTCTGGGATTTATTGCTCTGTTTTGGAAGTGGTATGTAAGGGCCAACATAGCTCCCTGTTTTTCTCCCTATGGAAAGCTCTTGGACCCTCTTCCCCAGCCACCCACTGCTATCCCCACCCATAAGAAATAGGAATTTCTTGCTGCTTTTTTTACTGAAGTGTCCTGCCAGCAGTGGGCCCTGCAAGGTGCCCATGGGTGTGTGACCACCCCAGGCCCCACTCGCCAAGGCTCCGCATCCCCATTCCAGCTGGAGAGGGCTGTGACTGCTGGATCCGACTTGGACCTCACCCTGCTCAGAGTGGGAGCTTGGACTGGATGTTTATTTGCATGTTTTATAGCCACTTCATAATTTTGGGAGAAGTTTGGAGACTTCTTTCCGCTCAGCTGATGAGAGCTTGAGCTGCAACAGGAGAACAGAAATCTAATGCTTCCGTGTGGAAAAATGGGGCAAGGTTTGGTATGTACTTCTGATGGGGAAGGTGAAACTGTGTCTGTCGGGGGGGTGCATATTTACAGGAGAACTGAGGCCAATACGGTAGAAGAAGTTACTTTTTTTGTTTGATTTCTGGTGTTGGGGTTTTGTTCTCCCTCCCTGTTCCAGCAGTTCATTTTAAAACTGTTACTAGACTGGGAAGGGTTCTCTGCCTCCCACCCCTGCAGGGCTTCCTCAACGAAGGAGGGAAGTGAGACAAACATTAAAGGGGGTTGATCTTAAAAAATCAAACCAACCAACAACAAAAACCAACAGAAAACCCCCAAAATTTTACACCTCAGATCTAAAGTAGATGTATTTTTCATGCCAGTTAAGTGTTGTAAATACGTTTGTGCAAATCCACTTTATATTTTTGGACACTTGAGTTGTCTATTTAGAGACTAGTTTTAAATTGTAAGGGCTGCAGGTTGCTGCCAGGGCAGTTGGCTGTGGACCTCTCATGGTTAACAGCAGCAGCTTTTGTTTAAATACTCAATGTCATCAGCTTTCTTTTTCCAGGTTTCTTGCATGTTATAAACAAAAAATCCCATCCTGCATTCTTGTAGAGCAATGTTTAGGATGTATGACAACTTAATGAAATAGTTTTCAAACTGTCAAGTTCATCTTGAAAGCTGCAGTGGTCTGCCTTTTTTTTTAAGCTTTATGTAATTGTGACTCCTAAACCCAAAGGTGTGAATCTGGGGGAGTGGGAGCTGTTGCCTGCTCAGGTTTGTTAGTTGGTGTTTTGTTTGTTGTTTTTTTGCTGTAGTTCTGTGGGTGCTTTTGTGCAGAGAAGGTTGCTGCCTGTCCAGCTTTGTCTGCAGCAGGGTGGGCTGAGGAAGGGCCCTCCCCCCACCCTGGCGGGGACAGGGCACAGGGGGCTATGGACCCGCCTTTGGTGGGAGCGGGCGCCTCGGTGAGGACAAGGGCACGTTGGCTGTGGGGGAACGAGTGAGAAACGGCAGGTTTTGGTTCGAAAAAGTGGAGATCTCACACTGAGTGACATGTTCCAGGTGGGGTCCCTGCAGAGCAGCGGTTCTGGGTGGCCCAAAACTGCCCCACACAGCTGGGCTCTGTGGTGCATGTGGTGAGGGGCGTTGCTGTCCCACTCATCAAGACCTTGCGTACATTTCAGCACTTCTACCCCTGCCCTGCAGCAGTAGCTGTGACAGCAATGGATGTTTTGAAAAGCTTTAAGATGTCTTAGTGGAAAATGAGTTTTATTTGTGTCTCAGTTTGGAGTTAAATCATTAAAACTTATTTGCAAAACAATTAGGTCTGCCATCTTTTGGTGTGACAGGGAAGCTCAACCAAAATGCTGCGCTGTACGTTTTTCCAGACCTTGGTGTCCCTGTGTTAAGTTTTCTCTGGAGTGAAGCTTGCGTCAAGCAGACCCAGTTGGCTTCTAGTCCGCAAAGCTGTTAAGTTTAATCTTGTTCCAGTTTAATTTTAATATCATGGATTGAAATTATATGCATGGCCATTTTTCTTTTTTGCGAAGAGTTGGATTTGGAACGAAAACAAAATGGCTCGAGGACGCAAGAGCAATAGCATCAAAGAGAGCGACTTCACTAACAGCACCCATCCTCAGGATTTAGAGAGAAGACTTTTTGTCGGCAATTTGCCCACAGACCACATGACTCGTGAAGAAATGGAAGAGATATTTTCAAAATATGGCAAGATCAGGGGTTAGTATATTCTCTTATGCCTTTTTGTGGCTGGGGATTCAGTGAGAAATACAACTTTCATGCTTGTCAAATGCTGTTTGATGATGATGACAGGAGTGACCAATGTTGTTCCTAAAAAGTGACCTTTTAATGGTAGTTTTCTTGCAACAGTGATTCCCCGACAGCTGAAACGTAACGTGTGTGCCAGCTGTGTGTGTTGTTGCAGTTGGGTGTCACAGCACCCTGTCACCTGACTTCAGAGTCTCGTGATCAAACCTTGGTCACTTCCCCAGCTGTATTTTGGTCACTGCCTTGTCAGAAGGAAGCCGATCTACACAGTATATTTCAGAGCCTTCAAGCTCTGCATTTTGTTCCTGGTGGATATTTGTCCCTGGGTGCTGGCAGGGTGGTTTCTGGGCAGAGCCCCATGCTGCCCCTTGTGGGTGACGCGCTGCCCGGGTGCGGGTTCATTCTGCCCTGCAGTTTAATGGTCTTGCCCTGCTGTTAATTTTTGCAGCCCTCAGCATGTACCATGGCTATGGGTTCGTGCAGTATGACCGTCTAGAAGATGTCCAGGCCGCTCTGGACGGTGAGAATGGGCGCCTTTATAAAGGGTATAGATTAGGTAAGGAAACCTGCGCCGTGTCTCCTGCCCCCAGCATGCGTCCTGGCAGAGGTGCCTGTGTAAGAGTGAAAGTGGGGACACCGCTGGTGTTGGTCTGAAATCCCTTGTCCTGGGGACAGGCTTGCCTCCTGGGATATCTGCTGTCAGTGCTGCCTGGTTTGTCTTGGTGTTTCCTCTTGCTGCCAAGGTCTGGCTCTGAACCTGGTTATGTGTTTCTAAAGCTGTTTGCCTGTGTGAGAAGCTGTCTAGTGTGTAAGCCCTGCAAAGTGTTCATTGAAACCTCATGGTGTGTAGTTTTACAAACATCTGTAAACCAGCACCAGGCTTCATTTGGACAGGTTCAGAGGACATGGTCACAGCACTCAGCAGCTTCCTGGAGAAGTCATCCTAACTTGGATTTTATTTTTTTTCACAAGTGAAATCAGTCTGTAAGAAGTGCTGTACACACCAGGGGCTTTAAAAAGGCTATTTTCATACAGCATGCGTCCTGGCAGAGGTGCCTGTGTAAGAGTGAAAGTGGGGACACCGCTGGTGTTGGTCTGAAATCCCTTGTCCTGGGGACAGGCTTGCCTCCTGGGATATCTGCTGTCAGTGCTGCCTGGTTTGTCTTGGTGTTTCCTCTTGCTGCCAAGGTCTGGCTCTGAACCTGGTTATGTGTTTCTAAAGCTGTTTGCCTGTGTGAGAAGCTGTCTAGTGTGTAAGCCCTGCAAAGTGTTCATTGAAACCTCATGGTGTGTAGTTTTACAAACATCTGTAAACCAGCACCAGGCTTCATTTGGACAGGTTCAGAGGACATGGTCACAGCACTCAGCAGCTTCCTGGAGAAGTCATCCTAACTTGGATTTTATTTTTTTTTCACAAGTGAAATCAGTCTGTAAGAAGTGCTGTACACACCAGGGGCTTTAAAAAGGCTATTTTCATAAAAACAAAAGTGATTCTGCTGAAGATGCTGAGAACAAACAAACAGAAATGAATGGTTAGAAATCTAAGAGTAATCTAGTAAGTAATCTAGTAATCTAGTGCAAGCAAAACCACAACTTTCAAATAAACAGTTTGGCTTAGGAAGGAGAGGAGCAATACATAATACCCTGTGGGAAGATGTGTGTACAGTAGCAGGTACAAGACTGGAGATGAAAATGGAGGCAAATAGACAAGCAGGGCAGAAATTGTTACAGCCAGCATTGTCTGAGTAGAAGCTTGAACAAACCCAACTGCAGCCGTTTCAAAAGCTAAGGTGGAACTGTCTGGAAGTGGTAAGATTCCTAATTGGAAAGGGCCACCTAGTCTTCAGTTAATGTTTCCACTGTCTAGTTTGGAAGAGACAGAAGATGTTTTAATATCAATTCCATTTCAGTAGGAAAACAGTGTAAAGCAGCAGCTGCCAAAAGCAGACCTCTCCAAAAAGTTAAATTTAATGTCTGTGAGGCTCAGGGAAGTTAAGACTTGTCTACAAGCTTTGCAAAACTAAGGAGTGTCCAGGGATCCAGCAGAACACTGTGGATGTGCCAGTAGGCAGTGTAGTGGGGTGAGCCTGGTGCTGGCACGTGGTAACAAAGGAATTCTTCCACCTGACATTGAGTGGGAAAAGAACTGATGCAAATCAAAAAAAATCTTGTCAGACTAACTTATGATACTGCAGGTTTTGTGGCTGAAAGTAGCAGCGTTGCTGTAAAAGACTTCTGTGAGATGCTTGATTTGATTAAGAAACTAGAACAGGTAAAACCAATACAGGGTTAAATGGCTTTCAGATGAATCTCTGTGGAACATAGATGGTGTTGCTTAGTGCTTTGGGTGGTGGTCTGGACAAATGGATTCCTGGCCACACAGTGCTTTCATAAGTGACTTGGAAAGAGAACAGGCAGTCAGGATTTAAAAAGAGAGTGAAGTAGAAGATCTGTGCTCAGCGAGGGGCTGTACAAAGCCCAGGCTGGGAGTAGGGAGGTTTTGGTACCTGTGTGGCTTTGTGTTCAGTTCTGGTATGCTTGCTTCAAGAATGGTAATGCTAAACTGGAGAAGCCTCCGGAAAACCTGAAGAAGGCTTAAAGAGTTGAAGAACAAGTGGTAGCAGAAGCTTTGAGATAAAGGGGTGGTGTGGTTAGTGTGTTACAGACAGACCTGGGGATCAGTGGGTTTTAATCTAGCAGGCAGAGGTCTGAGAAGTCCTTAAATGGGAAGAAATAGTTTTTTTAACAACAAAGTAATTTACATACGGAGAAACATATTGGAGCTTTGGTGGTTTCTGTGCTCTGAAGACTTTTAGATTGAAATTGGATGTTTTGCTAAAAGATAAGCTCTAGTTCAGTGCCACTGCTGCACTTCAAATAGGTGTGTGATTCATTGTCACTTTGCTCAAAAGGCTGCTCTGTGTGGTTACAGTGGTCCTGTCACCTCAAAATCTTGCAGCACAGATGACTTTTTTTTCTCTCAGAAGTTTTGTCAACATTCAAATAATTAACCTGTAAATGCTGCTGGCATTAAATAAAATGTTATTAAAACTTAATTCTGCACAAGAGAAGGATCCCTGTCAAAGATGTGTTTTGTTCTAGTAAAATATTTTTCTTCAGATTTAAATACTTCTATTTGAAGGAAATGTATGGTATTCAGTGTAAAAATCATAATAGGATTCTCCAATGGCATCTTAAAACAGAAAATAAAACTAATCTTATACTAAAGAAAGTAAATAGTGTCTTGCTTAAAGATAACACTACTTCAAGGGGAAAAAGATTTCAAATAAAAAACAGTTGCTTCAGTTATGCAGTCTGACTGTCAGCTATTATTGCTAGTAACACAATAAGGTAATAAAAGGCTTTGGGAGGGTTTGACTCCAGTGTTGCATTATAGCAATACTTCCACAAATGCACAGATATGTTTTCATGTCTTTAATGAGTGAAACTATCCAGGGAGTAAATGTCCTTTACGTGTAGTTTGTGGCAGGAGACAAGGCAGAGGCTGCCTGGGGGTCCTGTGAGCACTGCCTTGCTGTGTTCACAGGCAGCGTTCTGCTGCACTTGCCTCTCCCCCCAGAAGAGAACACACTGCTTCTTGATTGACAATGACAGCAAACAAAATAGAACTAATCCCTGAATTGTAATTTAAGTCTTGAAAGCAAAGAAGAGTAGTTTGGGAGGTTATGGAAAATGTTAAGACTGTGTCATTGGTTTAGTTGTTGATCTTGAGTTACACAGTGACAATAATGCACCCTAAGGTGCACCCTAAAGACACTCTGGCATGTTTGTTCTTTTGCACAAGCTTTGAAAGTAGTTGATATAAATAACTAATAATAAATTTTAATTGTCAGTAGATTTGCAGGAAGCAGATAGTTAGTTTTGTTCTTATCCTTAAAAGACTCTCAGAGTAACACTTCTGGAGGCACTTCTGTCCTTGCCCCCTTCAATCATCGATTCATCTCCCTTGGCTGTTGTGGAAGGCTCTGCCTCTGCACAGCAGAGCAGCAGGGGTTCCTGCCAGCTCTGGGCAGCTTCACTTTTTCTGGTGGAGGGCAAGAAGACTCTGTTTCTTCAGCTCTCTTCTTTGTATTTCACTTCATGATGTTTTTCATGGAGATGCTCAGAAGCCAACCAATTCTCAAATTTCTGATTTTTTGCATCAGTTTGCATCATGTTAACTGTGGTGTTTTGGATGCACCACGTTGACGTCAGTAAGAAGCTTGTGTTCCAGGCTCCTTGGATCCTGTGTCCTCCATGGTGGAGGCTGTACTGCTGCAGCAGTCCCTTGGGAAGCAGTTGTGTGTGCCCTTGAACCCTTGGATTGTTTCCAGCCCGGGTGGCAGCACGCTCCGCTGGACAGGACTGGCTGTGCTGGCCACCAGCTTCCTTTTTCAGAGGTTTTCAGACTCTGCTTTTTCTCCTAGAGTCCATGAGTTGCTTTCTGCTTGCTCATAGACTGCAGAAGAAAGAGGTTCTCTTATGGAAGGAAGAGTCTGGGTGTAGGCCTGAATGTAAAGGGTTAAAACCTCACCCAATCTGTCGACCCAATTTTGAAGTCAGAGAAATCCATGAAAATTGCATTACATTGTACTATCTAAACTTAATAAAAAATTGTCAAAGTGACAATGTCTCTCTGCTGAATGGGTTTTCTTGCACCCCCTGGATGTTGTTGTTAAGTTGCTTTCATTTGAATTGTGCTGATGATCTTTCTTTTTGTTCCATAGCATTGAACAGATGGGTTGATTATTCTTTACAGATATTAATAAAGCAGTGGAAAGAAGAAATATGAATAAGGCTTCATCAAGGTCCAGTCCGGCACGAAGGTAAAGTACCTGGAAGCAGTGAGTTGTACTAGGAAGGTCAGGCTTTTGGGGCATGAGCCCAGTGGCCTGGGCTAAATGTCTTTGTCTCTTCCCTGCTGCCACCTCCCCAGACAAATGGAGATGCTCAAGGGAGACAGTCGGGACGTGGCTGCCCTGCCTCCAAGAGCCCTTCTGGCGCTGACACCTCGGGAGGTGCGGGGGAAACCTCATGTCTGCTGCTGCCACTGCAGCCACGTGTTGTGTTTTGCAGCACAGGGTGTAGGAGACTTGTGAGAAAGAAAGCACTTGATATTTGCTTCTGCCTCAAGCGTCAGAGAAGCCAAGGCATGTCTGGAGAGTGCCGAAGGGCTGGGGCATTCCCAGCACCATGCTGTGGAGGACTTGGGCGTCTTTTCTCTTCTGATGTGGAAGCTTCCAGTGCAGAAACGAAACTGGAAAAGGATGAGCAAACATCTCTAATGCACTGTCACATCTGCCCAAGTGCGTGTCAGTGTCTGCACCCTCCTGCACGACCTCTCTGTGTGAAGTCACGGGCAGGTGAAGAAGACACGGATTGTCCTGTCACAGCAATGTGGCTTTGGTTTCCTTTCTGTAGCATCATTGGCGTGTGCACAGAGACATGCTGTGGTTATGGTTGGGTGTAAGGTGTGCAACTCCTCTGCCTGTGCTGGAAAAAGCTCCCTGCATGGAGGAGTGTTGCTTGTCAGACTTGAAGGTAATCAAGCTCTGTGTCTGGTGTGCTCTACTAACTTGACCTGTTAAATTACCAAAAATGAGGAAAAAGTGCAACTAGCAAGATGTGTACCACCAAAAATCCAGATAGTGAGTAGCTGCAACTCTTGACATCATCTAGGTCTTTGATAGGTGCTGCACTTACCCTGTGAGGGGCAAATGCCCTTGCAGAGCCCAGTGCATGGGCATAGCCCAAGAGCTGCTTTGGGCACACAGCTGGGGGGTCCTGTTGCAGATGTGGTGGTCCTGGGCAGTGTCGACTGTGCCCACTGCTGCCATGAACCCAGCACACCACAGAACACCACAAGGACATGAGAAGCCGATGCTGGTGCTATGTCTGTAGTTGCAGCAGCACTACAGATGCGCAGTGCTGAGGGCTTCGGGCAGCCTGTGCCGTGGCCACACTGGAGGGACATGCAGCAGGTGCTGATGCCACGGGTACTGGGACCTGTGTCATCCTGCACGTATGCAAGAGCAGGTGCCGCTGTCACGGGCCCTGAGGAGTACTGAGGTGCGAGCTGTGAATATGGGGCTGCAGACTGACGACTGCCATGGCTGCTGAAGGCTTCAGGACTTCTGGGACAGAAACTGTGGCCATCCCATGTCCCTGGCACCAGATCCCAAGCAGCACAGTGGGCACTGAGTCCTGGGCATGGCTATGGGCAACCCACAACGTGTGATGGGCTGCAGAGTGCACTGCAGGATGGGCAGTAGTGCTTGCGCTGTGGGAGCCGGAGTGTGGTGTGGGCACTGCCTTGTGGTTCCACACTGGGAAGAGCAGGACAGAAGGACCCACGCCACTGCCCTGCCAACTGCAGTTGTACACTGCTCATTCCAGATCCTTTTGTCCCTGCAGATGAGTGTAGCCTGTTCTGGACATCCCCAGTCGAGATGGAATAAATGTCCTGTTCCAAACAATTCCACTGCATCTGGCTGTTTTGCTATGTAGTCTTACAGCTACAGACAGAGCAGTTACTTGATATCTGCTGGAGCAACATCTGGCTGTTTTGCTATGTAGTCTTACAGCTACAGACAGAGCAGTTACTTGATATCTGCTGGAGCAACTCAGAAGTGTCCCCTGAGCCTCTGCCATCATCTGTTGTAGGTCTGGGGGATAGGGATGATGAGGTGTGTCCATGGGAGGTGGTTTCAATGCAGACCACAAACAGGGATTCATACATCTAAGAGGCTGAGGGAGTTTACACTTGTTTGTGTGCAAATTCAGTGTTTCTTTTACAAGAGGAGGCTCTATGTGCTCTTGGTAACAACTCAGTAGTTTGCCCCAAGATCTGCTTTGTATCTGACATACAAGCAGGGAATGCCAGTGCCCCCCTGCATCCCCTGGTGTGGCCAGTGTCCGACCACCAGCATCCCAGGCAGGCTTGACACATCCTCTTGTTACTGTCCCTTCTGCCTTTCCCTGAACTTGGGCATGTCTGACCTGTTGCTCTCACTTGCTCTCTGGGTGACTGCTCTGGGAATGCCCTGTCCTGGAAACAGACTGAGATTCTGCTTATCTCTCTAACTAGATTAGGCTGGCAGGGGACTCTGAAAGTCTGTCAAGTTTTGGAAATAAAAATATTCAAAAAGCTGTTTCTTTTCCAGTGGTTGTCAGTATCCTGGGGAAGGAACATTCCAAACACATGAAGCTCAGTAATTTGTCTGCAAGATTTTTTATGTTTGGCTTAGAGTATAGTGAAATTATGTTGTTTTTTTTACTGGAAAACAGAATATGACCTGAAAAAGAATCTCCGGTTTTGGGAAAAGATGAAGACTGGAATGTTATTCTTCCTTGCCTCAAAAGCCAGTGCAGTACAAGGTCTGAATGAGATGGATCATTCAGAGGTGACAGAAGTCTGTTGCTGCCCAGGAGGCTGTGCTGGTTTGGTTTAGTACCCTCTCAATGTGGGGCATCACAAACAGACTGGCTTTCCATGGAAACCATCCTTTCACATCTGGGACACAGTGGGAGCTATTGTTGCTTTCTGCCAGCAGCACAAACTCAACCACAACGTGGAACCTACAGTCTCTTTGGTCACAACAAGCTCCTTTTTCTAATCATAAGCCAATAACAATTGTTCCAGGTATTCTGCTGTCACTGACTGGTGAATATAATACATCCTTGAATGCTCCTGGCCTTTGCTTATTTGTGGGTATTAGGCTAGAGCACCTTGAATTTTCTCAAAGTATTTGCAGAACCATGTTTGTTGGATGATCTATGGCTGATATTGGAGGTTGGGGGCCTTGGAAAGGTGGTTTCTGAGGTTCACTCCTTCCACAGGTGCCCTACACCTTCAGTCATGCTCCATTAAGGAGCTTTCTGGATCTTACTGGGCTATGATAAATGTTAGAATTCAGAAGCTTCCCTAGGCTGCTTCAACAAATGTGCTTTTTGGGTAGTTCTTTTTGTGGTGGGATAGGAGGGAGGATTCAGCTGCTGAGAGAAGGGTCACTTTGACACCTCAGGTAAGACACCTCGGGGTGACAGCACCCATGTCCTTAGCAGTCTAACAGCATTGCCCTGGTATTTTCCCCAGGGAGCCGTACACCTACGGGGATGGCCGAGACACCAGGCGCGACCGCTCCCCTCTTCGGGGGAGCCCACGGAGAGACCCCAGAGATGGCAGGGATGGGAGAAACGGGCGAGATTCCAGAGACGCTCGAGACATTCGAGCCAGAGACATGCGTGACACCAGAGACCACAGGGACCCACGGGACCTGCGAGACCCACGGGATATCAGGGATCCAAGAGACCTGCGAGACCTTCGCGATGTTAGAGATCTTCGTGACTCACGGGAGCCGCTGTACGATCGATACAGGGATCCACGGGATACGAGAAATCAAAGAGATGTGAGGGATCCACGGGATATGAGAGACCCTCGGGACCCTTTGTACAGGTAATCTCTGTGGGGTCGCATTTGCCAACATGTTTTTCTGGCATTC